AGCCAGCCAATCGGGGCCTGCCGCCTTGACTGACGGCCCAGCTGCCCACTCGCGGGAGCCGAGAAGGGGCGGGCGGTGGAGCAGGTCCCGCTGCAGCAGAACCCGCTGACCCAGGGCAGTGTCCACCATCGGCTGCCTGCTACCTCTGCCCGGGAGGGCACGGACAAACCCTCGAGGGCCGGGACACCGCGGCTCCAGCAGCTGTGCGAACGCACGCCTGCTCAGTGCCTTCTCGGTGCACAATGGCTGTGAGGCCCGGCTCGGCGCCGACTGTCTTCCTCTGTACCTCCCAGGGAACCCCAGGCCACCGACCTGCTCCCTCGTTCCACAGGCCCCTGGCCCGGAGCGCTGGGTCAACCAGGCAAGCAACTGGGCCGAGAGCACAGGACCTAAATGCACTTCTGAAGCCTAAACTCCGTGCTTCCGTGCAGGGGAGCCACCCTACAGAAAACTCTCGTGTAGCAGCTTTAGAGCTGGCTCCCACAGTCACGGCAGACCCACCAGCCAGCCAGGGAGAAAAGAGAAGAAAACCATGACCAGGGCCCACTGCTTAGTGTCAGTGCTTCCATACCTGCTGGACTGGAAAGGCAAGCAGACAATTCTTACTGTCAATAATGTCTAAAAGTTGCATATCCTTTTCACTAAAAATAAGCACATTCCTATTTTCGAAAATGATACAGGCAAAAGTTTTGGAATATTACACGATACCCGAAACTTGCATGCTTATTCTATATTTGGCAATATTTCATTATAGCACTTGGTTTATGAGTTACTGTGCTAACTGCGGAAACCAAACTGACCAGCACAAGGAAATCCCGAATTATCTTTGAGAAAGAAAAAAAAAAAAAAAGGAAATCCCTGTAACAGTGAAAAGAATCTCCAGTATCACCATGATAAATGTTACATTACTTTTTCATTGGGCCTTGAGCACTTTTCATCCTAGAAGGATGCCCTGAAGAGTGATTTCCCCCCCTCTTAATGACAGGAAAAAGAAGAAAAAATCTTGAAATCTCTTGTGTTGCCACTCAGATGGAGCATCTGAACCCATCTGTTAAACCGAATACACAAAAGCAGAGGCAAAGCAGCCCGCATAAAGAGAGGCAATTTACTAAGCGTTGATACTGATGTCTTTCTCCTAAATTCTCAATAATTTAAAAAAAAAAAAATCAACATCCATGTGACCTTGGACTCTCTCATTTTCATCTGTCTCTTGCAGTACACACTCTTTGCTAACCATTCAGCACACTGCAAGCCCTGATAAAAGTAGTTAATGTTTACTGAAACCTGCGCATGAACTGTACTAAACCCGATAGGAGTGAAAAGGCAAAGTTCTGTTAACAGCATCCATATACTATTAAGCAAACTAAAAATCAGAATGGGTGGGTTGTGAGGGGTGGGCCAAGAAGGAATTTTTTTTAAAAATTAGAAACTAAAATTTCTCACTGATGTGAAATACACATTTCCAAAGTTTAATGAATTAAGTCAATATATATCACCATGAAAAGATGCTTTGGGTATATTTTGTTATCTCTGGAAATTTGACACAAATTTTTAAGTTTTTTTTTTAAAACAGAATTTAAAACTAAAATGTATTTATATTTCATGTTTTCTCACACTTTTTTGAAGACCATTTACCTAATCAATAACTGACTTTATACTCTAAAGCATTTATCTTAATAGCTATATGTAGGTTACAGCTGAAGAACTATTCCATGAAAAAATAAACTTAACATTTCAATGGTTATCGTCTAAATACTATTCCTCCCTTTAGTTTTCCAAATGTAAAAACAGTTAACCTCGGTCTAATCAGATTTTTAATTCTAACATCTTACTATTAAACTCACTGTAAATAAATTGAATTCAATATCAGGACTTCCCAATATTGTTTTTCTCCCACTTCTATACTATCCCTTTTTCTCCAATAACCTTAGTTAAAATAAAATTTCAACGTACTCATATACACATACACAGACTGTATCCAGAACAGGATGCTCTCAAGGTGTTTAAAGCCAACTTTCTCTCTCCCCCATCCCCCCTTGCTTAAAGAGTAGCAATAGAATCAGTCACCTTGGAAACAAACATCACCCAGTGTTTGCAGAACAAACAATGGTACCTTTTCAGCCAGTACCAGGCAGGCAGGGCAAGGGGCAGCCAAGCAATTCTGGGCCCTACAGCAGTGCTAACATATTACATTCATCCAGTGCACCAAAAAGTAGTTCAGTACTAAAAATGAAGTGCTCTCCCATGTGTGAACCTTTGGCTAGAAACTCATACAAAGTGAGGTTTAAGTCAAGTAAGGCTACCCTGAGTTAGAAAAAAGTCTTTATTACTTTTGGAATTGTTTTAGATGCCTCATGAATAAGGTAAGCTACACTCTTGTCACTGAGGATTACCTTCTCCAAAAACTAGGAAGAAGTTGCTTTAAAAAATTTTTTCCTGTAATTACTCCTGCCAAACCATCATGTCATTTTTCTTTTAATATGCCACCATATACTGGTTTTAAAAATATATATGTTGCTTGGCACTTTAATCCACATATGAATTTCTAGTATTGATAAGAAATCTCACTGTAACCTAGAAAATTAAATGACAATTTCTAGAACTCTTAAAAAAAAAAAAAAAACAGTGCTAAAGAGATACTTTATATGGGCCTCGGATATAGCAATAACTACTTTTTGACCTTGGATAACAGCAATGACTAAAGTTTTTTTACTGAAAACTTAAAAAAAAACTAATCAATTTTGAGTAGTTCAAGGCTTAGGGGAGATTTTGGTTGTTACTGTTTTTAAAAATCCCAAATGGGTAGTTAATTTAAAAAATATACACGTGCTCCTCAGATCCTTCAGAATGAAATTTTTAAATGTCCAACGAAAGTAACAGTTTCCTCCTTAGTTTGGGTGTGTGCCGAAGTTTTCCTTCCCACCAATTAAGAAAGAAGGCTGGGCCCAACTGAATTATTTGGACAGGAGTTTGATGTCAGTTAAATACCACAGTAACTGGCATTTTCTATCACCTCCAGACTAAGGCACAAATGCCTAATTAACATGGACCAACATGCAGCTTAAACTGGAAAAGTGCCTGTCCTTTTTCTTTCTTTCTTTCTTTCTTTTTCCCCCCTCAAAGATTTAGGTCTTTAACATCCTTGAGTTAGAGTGCACAAAGGGTGTCTAATGCCATCTGACTGAGGTGTAAAAGTCTAATTAACTAATGCTTTTTTGCAGCGACAGTAAATCAGTTAACATTATTAATCTTCCTGTCCGGGCATAAGAGAGTGAGGAGAGCCATTGAAACGGAGCTAAACGCTTAGACTAGGTACCCTTGAAAACGAAAAGGAATTCTGGAAGTGATGACTGATGACACTGAAAACTACTGAGAAATACTTAAAAATCCAGCCCCTCGGCCTTGCACCAGGCAGCTACTTGGATCGCTGAGGCTACAGCTCTAGAGGAGAGGAAGAGGAGGAGCCAGGCCAGGGCAGAGACTCCCATCACCCATCCTTTCCTTCCAGCGCCCCAGGCAGGAGAGCACAATGTGGAGCCTTCCGTGCCTTCATCTAATACTGCACCTTTCCAAGTCATTTCTTTAGTACAACAAACAGAAATTACTACCTGCAGTAGTTTGAACAAATGACTCCAACAGCTGGGCCAGTTAAGCTAGTTTCAGTAAACCAACAACTCTCTTAACATTTGGCTTCTTAGTTTTGCTCATATATCAGGCATCCCAAAACATACATACATATTATATTCACACTAGCAACCACGAATTTATCAGATGCACCCCCTGAATGCCAAAATCTGATGAGAAAATGCCAGCAGCCAGTTTCTGAACCATGCCTTGGTCTGTACAGAGACAATGGCAGTTAACAGCCCCTCCAGCTGTCCTTCCAGGATTTCAACTCCCTATCCTTGCCCCCCTCCACACTGCACCCCAGGGGGCAGGGAGGAGGCATCAGCTGGAGCCCTACTCTCTTCTCCCCTTGCAGCTCCTGCCAGTTCCTCGCAGGCCCTGGGACATGACTGCCCACCTCCTGACAGTGGCTAAATGTGACGAGTCAGCCCTGGGCTTTGGGGAAGGAACTCCCAGTGCTGAGCCACTCCTGGCCCCAGATCCAGGGTGATGACCCCAAGTGCAGCAGCTTCCTCCATCTTCTGGAAGAACATCTCAAAGGGGCAGAGCTGGGAAAGGAAGTGAAAGGAGGAGGCCAGGTGCCGAGGCTTTATCTTTCCCCCTCAGGTTTCTGTTTCACTGTCCCCTCTTGAAGGAGGATGTGAACTGATGCAGACTTTTTAAACAAAATTCTAAGGGCAACACATGTTTGATTAAGAACAACCTTTTAAAAGTCACCTAGTAATACAGAACCCTTGAAAGCATCATGTCCAGAATTCAGTCCGTTCTTAATAGATATCTATGCACTCTTTATGGGTTTAGAAGTGTTTAGGACTATTATTCATGACTTTGGGCACTACTCCCCCTACAAATCACCTCTTTTTTCTATTCAAGAAGGTATCTGGGTGTGAAGCTCACCCACAGTACAAAGGTGAGGGGTTACTGGTCCCACTGTACAGATGGCCAGAGTCCTTTAACTGAGACTGGCTGGCCCTCTAGACACCTGTCACCTCTCCCACCAGGTCTACTTCATTAAAGCAATTCTCCCTGCCTATGTTTAGCACTTGCAAAAATATATAAACAAAATGATCTTTTAAAAGTGGTGCTGGCTTCCCAAACTCTATTCTTTCCGAAGATCAGCTGATAAATACTGTCTACCTTGCTTTGCTAAGAAACTGCTGATGATTCTCTAGAGCAACTTGAAAAAGCTATAAAAATTTCAAAGAAAGGCAAATTAAATGTTTTTGAAAAATATACAGATAGTAACTAAAATAGTAAACAAAATACCTGCTCCTAGCGAGAGCTCAGAAAAAGGTAAGACTTGGAGATGCTTTTCCTGGAGACAACAACACAGAAACATCAGCAATGAGTCAGCTCCTCCCCCACCAGCATCCTGGGCAGTTAAGCAACGCAACGAAGCTGTTGTGAGAAACCAAGAATGCAGAGAGAAGAAGCACCCCTGGTAAGTAACCATAACTATTTGTCCAGCACCTCATTTTAATAAGAGGAACAGACAACCATAAGAGAATGAAGAGAAGGTTTCCGAGAAAGGTTCAATGGGCCAGATGGTCTTTAAGTTGCTGCCCTGCCTTAAAGTAATTTTCAAGATGCCTAGAAATTCTCTAGATTTATGATACTTTTATGGAAAGGACAATAACTTCTATCTTTATTAAGGTTTTTCTGTTTGCTGGTACGGATTAGAAAGAAAGGAAATACTACCTAGAGGCATTATTATGTCACCTTGTAAGAATATGATACAAGAAATATATTCTGTCCATTTTAGAGATGGAAAAACCAAGGCACAAAGAACATCATTTCATTAACTGTAATCAAGGTTGAACTTGGAGCTAACAAATGCAGCCCTCTCTAAGAGGTCACGGTGAATAATTAAAAGGGCCAAGGGGAGTATGTGCAGGGCCCTGTTGAAATGTTTCTGACAGTCTGGCTGATTCAGTTCACTTCTCCAAGTCCATGCTTTCTTCTGAAACAGAGGTGGTGTTGGGGTACACTGGGAACTGTTCCATCTATGAGCAGGTGGGAACAAAATGCCTCTTCCTGGCTTGTGACATACAGTGGCCTTCAGCTCCTCTCTGACTCTAGTCATTCCTGGAGTCAGTGACTTCTACTTGCAGCTAGTAACTGATCTAATCATCATTTTCCTGACATTAGACCTTAGTTATTCACATGTAGAACCAGTCTTCCTCTAGGGCAGAGCCCTCCAGGGAGTTATTTCAAGGTATTCCCAAGCATCTACGAACCAAGTAAATTTACACATACATGTATTATTATCTTGCAAGTGTATGAGAACACTGCTATAGTTAATAAAAGATAAATTCCACTAAAATGTTATTAAGAGTTTTTTTTTTGTTACACTCCCCAACAGATCCTAAACATATAATTAAAATTGTTTGGTCTGGACTTTTTGTTTTGAACATTAAAAGAGACTCTTATATTTGGAAAGGTTTGAGAATAAGTACTCTAGGATATCTAAATAGCATGACATTGATTACAGCAAAATATACCACTAAAATAAAAACCAGAAATAAGGAATATATCGCACCATATGGAATATCCACAACATATATGCCTTAGGTAAAATGAAAAACTTCTCAAGAGAGTCTGACCCTGTATGTATGTATGTATGTATGTATGTATGTATGCATGCATGCATGCATGCAAGGCTAGAGTTCAAACCCAGGACTTCATTACATCCCCAGCCCCAAGTGTGATCCTTTAGAACTTTTTTTTTTTTAACTGCTCAATTTGTTCTGCATTGTTTTGCTTTTTAAATAATCTACTTATTTATTGCTTTGCTGAGGATTGAACCCAAGGGTCTCCTTCATGACAGGCAAATTCTCTACCACTAAACTATATCCTCAGTCCCATTATTCACTGTTGAATCTCACTTGTACCATGAAAGATTATATGCTATCCAAAATACAAACACATTTAGTTAGTTCAGTATTTTCTTCTATAAAGTAAATCAATTTCTAGCAGGATGGGTGATGTACACCAGTAATCCCAGCATTTTGGGAGACTGAGGCAAGGATTACAAATTAGAGGCTAGTCTCAGCAATTTAGCAAGACTCTGTCTCAAAATAAAAAAGCAAGAAGGTATAGGGATGTATCTAAATGGCAAAATGCCCCTGGGTTTAATTCCTGGTTCCTCGATAAATAAATAAATTGCTGATTAACTCCATAATCATAATTTAATCCTAGATTGGTTTCATTTAACCTAGGAAAATCTTTTCTCCCCTCTCTCAATGAGTGCCCAAGGGATGTCAAATAATTAAAACATTAGCTCATGACCACCCTCCCCCCAATTATGCCAAATGACAATGTGGTTTTTGTGTCAAAGAATATTTGAATACACCAGAAAAGACCTGTCATATTATATTAAATTTTGAAAAGACGGATGTAATTTTAAAGGCATGTGTAAAAAAAATTTTTTTTAATTGTCCATACCAGATAGAAGAAGATATACAGTAAAGCATAAACGATGGTGATCTGGGACCTGTGAGAGTAAATAATTCTACTTTCTTTTCCTTTTAGTTCATTTAAATTTTTCCTCAGTGAATGAGTCATAGGTGCAACAAAGTAATAAACTATCTAATGGGGAAAAAAAGTTTTAATCCTTAGGACTATTTCCTTGGTGATCTCTGAGTAACGGGATGACAGGTCATTTTGATTTTCTTCATAGGCCTTCCTATTATCTACAGTGAATATGGACATTCTATAGTGGGAACGTTTACACGGGAGTGATTCTGATTTGCCGGCTTGTGGTAATAATGATATAATCTGCTCACTAACACCCTAACAGGACGATAACTGTGTCTCCACCACACAAGTGTATAGACGAGGCCCCTGAGGACAAGACCTCAGGCTCCTGGCTCGGCAGGATGCAGACATCTAAGGTAATCCACCATCCAAGTACACCACTCCACACCCCGCTCTGCCCGCCCCCCATGCAGGCCTCATCTTCCTCACCTGTCAATTAAGGGAGGGTAAGGAAAGTAAATGAACCATGGACCCTATGGCCCTTCCCAGCTCAAGCCTCTGTGATTATAAACAAAGATGCAAACGTAGCTTAATCAAATCTTGCCAGTCCTAAACAGCATCCCCGATAGATCTGAACTGATTTTTCCAATCTGACTATTTGTATTACTATTTGTATTACCTAATAGTAAAGCAAAGATAGGAACATTCGATTATTTGAATCTGCTTTTAAAAGTTTCTGTGGATCTGATTCAAATGTATGATATGTCAAGATCATTGTACTTTCATGTTTAACTAATTAAAACAAATAAAAAATAAATAAAATGAAAAGAAAAAAGTTTCTGTGGCTAGCAAATTTCTACCTTTACTAATCTGTGGAACAATTCTGCCTGAAATGAAGGCGCATGACAATGAATGGCTCTAATCATGACAAATACAAGGCTGCTTACTGACATCTGTGCTATGCCTGATGCTGAGTATTTATATGTTTTACATCATGCTGTATAATCCCACAACATAGATCTGATTGCATCCATTTTACACGTGTAAAAAAAGATCTGTTCAGAAAAAAGACCTGAGAGAGGATGGGCAGAAGTTGTTTTCACCCACGATGTGTGCCTGCTGAGTCACCCAACCATTCCATCTCAACGTCTCCACCTGCCAACCAGGTCAAATAACCCCCTGCCTCATTCATTCCCTCAGTGAGCCAGCATGTACCAGGCACTATGGTAGGTGGTAGGGATGCATCAGTGAATACAAATGTTTAAAAAGAACAAAAAGACTACATGGAGCTTACACTCTAGTATAAAAAACAAGATTTTTCTAGATTTTAGGCAAAAAAAAAAAGTGCCTAATACTTAGTGCTAAATAATCATTACCTGCCTTCTCCCAACTCCCTTTAACAATGGAAAAAGCAGTAGAAAACACAACCAACAAAAGCCATCAGCTTTGACAGCCCCCAAGAAGAAAAATTTTTGCTTAATAAACATATGCAGAAGAGCAGAAACTAAGAGTACACATGTACTGGAGTACACTAGCCTGGATTTGAATTTCGACTCACTGGCTGAAGTGACCTTGGGCTAGTTAAGTACACTAAGTCCCAGCTTCCTCATCTGTAATATGGAAATAACAATGACATCATAAAGTAGAGGCAAAGATTAAATGAGATGAAGTACAGAAAGTGAAGGTTAAGGTGTCTTCTATACCTTCAGAGTACATGGAATGATTAGTACAATCTCCTCAAAGCCTACCTTCCATATCTGCAAAATGACAAAGATCATACCAACTTGATAGGGTTGTGGTGAACGCTGCAGAGAAAATGCACAGAAAGTGTTCAGCGTGACTGGTGTATGATGGCACTTATTTATTTCATAAAAATGACTAGAGAATGGGGAGCAGGCAGGGATGGCATCCTTCAGCAATGGACCCCATGGCCAGTGCTCATAAAAGCCTTCCCTGGGAAGAGCACTGTGCTCCTAGTACCAGGCGCCAGGCAGCTTCCCCGCAGAGCAGGATCAGATGCAGGTGGTTGTGAAATGACAAATGCAACTGAATCTGAGTCACCAGGGATGACGTCCAGAGTGTGTGGATTAGGTCGGCCCTGGCTCCGGTTGCCTCTCTTTTAGGCACTTCCAGCTTTACCAGAGGGCTAAAGAGAGCAAAGGAGAGCAGTGGAAGGGGATTTACTACTACTTTGCAGGTTTTTAAAGGAAGGAGTGTTGGCTAGGGAGGATCAAAATGATCTGGGGGGAATTATCAGTAAAAGCTATACATCCAGACTTGCTCTTGTCCCAGTTAGGTCAGATGAAAGGACCCTTCTCTACTTGTGGACGGAGGCAGAAACACCAGCATCCAAAATTTCAGCGTGACTCCAAAACTGGGCCAGGGAAGGAAAGTCAGGAGATGAGCTCAAGTGCTGCTGCTATAACACATGGGGGGCCACAGGCAAGTCCACAGCACTCTGGGCCTGTCATCCTAATGGACCAGCAACTCTACTCAACACCACACATCTCAGGACATGGACGTGCAGGAAAGCTTTGAGGCATACCTTCAGGAAGGCCACTATATTATATACAAGCCCCTTCACCAACATTGTAAACACCATACATTGTTTAAGTAAATGAGCTCCCCAAAAGGAATCTCCCCCAGGCCAATGGGGGGGGGGGGGGCGGGCAAACTGGAACCTGAGCATCCAGCTGCCAGGCCACACCTTTCCTACCATAGGACATCATCTGTTTCAAAGGTGGCTCACCTAGAATTGAGCTATGAAGTCAAATATTAAGCCAGAGGATGTGATTCAGCTTTTCAACACATTGGTGGCTATAAAGAAATAAAGCTTCCTTGTGTGCAAATCAGGGAAGTGGCTCTAGGCAGTTCAGAGATCCTGAGCATGGCCACTCGGTTCATCCTGTACCAGCTGCCCTGGGATGCACTCTCTGCCTCAGGCCAAAAGCAGGGAGTGAAGGGGACACTGTGGCCATCAAAGCACAGATGCAAAAACCCCACTCTCCCTTTTGAGGATGTGGCCAAGGTCTCAGCAGGCCAACCTGTCACTTCTCTGCTCAAAAACAAAGGACTCCCTACCACTTACAGAAGGAAAGGTGGACTTCTGCCCTACCCCACCCTGGCCCCACGTAAACCTCCAACCCTATCATCTTCTAGTACATCATCTTCAACACCAAATTACAGCCTGAACTGCAAACCCACCTGCCCTCTCCCGCTGGGACCTCAGCCCCTGCTTGTGCTTTTCCAGGAAGCACAGACCCAGTCCCGTGTGCTTCCGTGAGCCCTGGCCTTCCCATGGGAACTTGGCACAGGGTCCACGTGGGCTGCAAATTCCTTTCACAACGTAAACTCCCCAAAGGCAAGAACCACCATGTTCCACGTGCCTAAACCAAATGTCCTGGATACAGAAGTTGCTCAACTGAGGCTATTTCAAACTGAAGTTGGAGGCAATCAAATATCATGGGATGCTCAAACCTAAGCAAGATGAAAAGAATCAAGACAAATGAGTTGAGTCAAGGGGTACGAATTTTCCAGGTACCAAGATGGAGGGAAATTATCTACAACAACAACAACAAAAAAACAATCCTTGAGCTGGGGGTGTAGCTTAGTGGTAAAGCATTCACCTAGGACCTGGGTTTAATCCCTAGCACCATCCAAAAAAAAAAAAGACTGTCTTGTAAGACTATGGAAATGTGGAAATGGGCTTCCTGGCTGACTTCACTAAGTGTATGATCTCAGAAATATTAAACATCTCAAAGCCTCACTTCCTTATCTTTAAAAAGAGGAGAAAGGTAGCTAAGCCTCTATCTGTGGTTGTGGCCATTACACATGGACATAAATTGTGTTTTCCTTCCCCCAACAGCATATAACCAGGCAGGTCACACATGCAAAAGGAATCCAATGAGCAACACTTCCAGATGCTTCCCTATCCCAAAGCCTGGTCCCCCAATGACTCTCTTCAGCTTACCAGAATTTCATTTTCTCCTGCACAATTCTAGCTCCAATGAGTAAACAGATTTTTAAAAAATTAGCAGGGAAAAAAAAAAAAAGATTGTCAGGAATATGTAAAAATCACAAAATATATCAACCCATTTTAGGTGGTGTGAAATGATTAAAGTTTGTATTCTACTCAACCCACCAAATTTACAGGGGGCCTACCCACATTTTTCACAACCCTCTCAGCTGGATCCTTTAGTCTGTGAGTACAAGCTATGAAATGTATAAAGTCAGGCCCATAAAAAAATTAATATTTCCTCCCCAGAAGAGAGAAGCCCCTGAAAACCTAGGCGTACAAGGGAATATTCTCTCTATAATAATTACTAAGTCACTGCTATCTGACTTTGGGGCCTGCTATCTGACTTTTTTCACATCCACTCCAATTTTTTTTTAATATTTATTTTTTAGGTGTAGATGGACACAACACAATGCCTTTATTTTTATGTGGTGCTGAGGATCGAACCCGGGTCCCGCCTATGCTAGGCAAGCGCTCTACCGCTGAGCCACAACCCCAGCCCGCACTCCAATTTTTTAAGCCTTGGACACATGCTCTCCCCTTGCTGGCCCTTTCCCCAATACCTAGGGAGGTGGATCCAAGCAGAATATGGGAGAATCTGCAGGGCAGTGCTGCTACCTGGTTGAGGTCGTGTTATGCAGCTGAGCAGGTTGCTAGCAACAGCTATAAGACAGCCCCATCTTATGAAAAAATTCTGTTTCCACGAGAAGCTTCCAGCCCCTAAAGTTTTCTCCCATTGGGTCATCAAGATTGCAAATTAGCTAGCTATCTGCCTGCTCCCACTCCTAGCCTGCATTTGCTCCAGCTAACATACAAACGAAAGATTATAATGAATAAGTCATCCTCATTTGACTCCCAGGGTTCACCTACTAATATTTTTGAAGGAAAAGAAATGAGCTTCCTCTAAAGACTTCTGCTTTCCGATGAGCTAAAATAATTGAAATTAGTAAAATACAATTAAGGAAGTTTAAACATTGTCTAATTGAATTCTATCTGCTGCAAATAAATATTCCTACCACCTTTCAATCATTCTTATTATTTTTTTCAGGCTGAGCAAGTACTCTACTGCTGAGCTACACCCCCTGTCCTTAATTGTCACTTAACACTGCTTCAGAAGGCAGCTCACAAGCCCAGGGCTTCAAAATTTCTTGAAATCAAAAAAGGGAAGAAATTATTCCATTAAAGAGGGCACCAGATTTCAGGTTCATGGTGCACTTTGCCAAACATGCTGTCTCCTCAATTTTTCTAATGGGTTAGCGGTGCTCTCTCTCAAGCACAGGGCCGCTCACATCAGGGCCCCGCTTCGAGGCACTTGGGGGGCCCACAATCCACAACAGCCTATGAAATGGAGCTCCAGCCAATTTTTCCAGGGTCAACACCTTTCACACCCCAACCTGACACAGCATTCTACCCTCCAGCCACACTCTCTGTCCTAGTCTGTCTCCCCCCCCACCCAAAAGCTTCATATTTTTGTATTCTAGGTCCTGTACTTAAACTATTTTTTCTGCCCAGAAGAACGTTTTGTTTTCCCTTCCCCACATCCTTCTCCACATGGCACTCTTCAGAATCAAGGACATCACTTCCTCTGTCCCCAGTGTCTTGCTGACTGTGAGATTCGGGGCAGAGACCATGTTTTTACTCATCCTTGTGTCTCCAGAGCCATGTACCTGGGGTTAGGTGTCAAGGCCTGGAGACCAAAGCAGGTTCTCCCGTGGTGATCTTCCACATTCAAAAAAGCAGGAGCACAGAATTGCCTAATCCTGATTGCTTCTCACTATTCTTCTGCTGAAATTACCAAATTGCCCTAAGCAAAATAACAATGAGAGCAATAGTAGTAAATAGAGAACACAGGTCAGTTATGATCCAGCCGGTAGCTTACAAGCCTCAAATTTTGTTTTGTTACTACTTTACTTTGTTACTACTTTGAAAATAATCTTCATCCACAGACCCAACAACAACAGGGAACAGACCTTCAAATGCATGTCAAATTCAAGATCTGCCAGTTCTATAACTGGCTGAGACCCCACCGCCCATAAACGGAACAAGGTGACCCCATAAACGGAACCTCCCATAAATGGAACAAGAAACATTGGTGACTTCAACCTCCAACACCCTAGGAAAGATGGGACATCTTCTCACCATCCTCTACCCAGCATGGCTCCTCCTCCTTAAAAAACAAAAAAGCAAAGAACACCCCCTAGAGACAACTTTATTTGAATCCAGACAAGTTTTAAGATTAGGTTAGTAATTAAATCAGTTCACTTGCTGTTCCTACTTCACTAGCACCAAAGATCATCACTGAGTCTCTGAGAATCACCAATTCCAGAGCAAAATTTCCAGTTTATATACTGAAGAAAATAACAGTAACTTATTACAACATAAAACAACAAACCTGTTTTTCAAGGCACTGGTCCTGCAGAAACCCAAAGCCAAAATAAATTCCTCACTTATGCAGCACGCAGTTTACAGTCTTTTCAGAAGTGGTCAAGGTGCCACTTATTTTGAAATAGGGTTCTGGAACTTTCAGTGAGGTTAAAAGGGGGTGTCCACAATTAAGAGAGAGGAAACCCCCTCCCCCCAACACACCATTTATCACACAAAGGAACATCCTACACTTCTTTCATTTCCAGGGCACCTCGCATCTCATGAAAGGATGCCTCTAGTCCACGTGTGAACTTTCCAGTGGGGCCCTGGTGAAAACTCCCTTCTAGGCAGGATTTACTTGGGGCGACACCCTACACCTCTTCCAGCTATCTCCCACGGTGCAGGCACTTGACATTCTGCTTTAGTGTCCCCCTGATCTCCCCTTCTAGGACACAAAGGCCTAGTCAGCTGGTTTGGATGCTAACACCACCTCTGCATGCTGCTCACTCTACGAAACGCAGATCTCCTCTCTTGACCCTCATGGGTGATGGTCTAACTCACTGCGTCCAATACCAGACAGAACAAGCAATGGTTCATGGGTGAACTATAATCAGCTGTTTCCAGAAAGCAGAGACCCTTGTTCTTGCCCATCTCTTCCCTTGATATGCATCACAGGGAGGGTTCTGTGTGAAGAAAGTTCCCAGGAAATATTTATTTGGAGAGTAGATCCTGTCACCACAGAAGGGAGTTTAGCAGTGCTCCAGGGGGCAGGCAGGCTCTGGAGCCCGGCACTGTTTGAACCCTACTAGCCAGCTCTATCTCTGGGTCTCAAATTCCTCATCTGAATCATGGGACAACTAATTGTACCCACATTATTGGGTCAAACAGGAGTCAAGAAGCATGAGTAAAATGATGCACATCAAGAACTCAGGACGATGGTAACTAGGTTAGACCTCTTTACTACTACTCCCACTACTACCATGCCCAGAGTATTTCCACCCAAAAGCCTAAGGACCAAAAAAAAAGGTGAAAATCTAACTTTAGATTGCAAACTTGGCAGAGTGGAGACATGGAGTAAGTCTAGCAAGGGCAGAAGAGAAACAGGCTACTACTTCCCTTCGGGTTTATCAGATGTAAAGCTCAGACCTGTCTTGCCCGTGATGTCTCACCAAAGGCGGTCTGTAACTCACACACTGTTTGGGGGACTCATTTAAGTGTACTCTAGGCAGAATCGTTTGTATGAATAACCGCGGTAGTTTCTGCTGTTGAAGAGTGGATTTCTGTGTATTCAGCTTTCAGCGGAGAAACAAGAAGTCACACTAGCTACTCTCAGGCTTCCTAGAGACGAGTCGCCCAGAGAGCCCTTCTAAAATTCCATTTGCAATGAAAATAAAAATCAAGTAAGTCACAGCCTCTAAGCATAATCATTTGACCAGCCCAAATGATACCACCACCCCCCCAACACACATACTCCCTTCCCTTTGGAGTGCACCTCAAAACAGACACATGATCACACACCATCTCCTCACCAGGACAGAATGGAGTGACAGACACACAAAGCAAGCTTCAGAACACGCGTGCCACTGTTATTCACCCACAGAAGGGCCAAGGGCTGCTTAAAAAAGAAACAAGGGCTGGGGCTCTAGCTCAGTGGTAGAGCACCTTGCCAGCATGCGCCAGGCCCTGGGTTCCATCCCCAGCACCCCCAAAACAGCAGCAGCAACAACAAAATAAACAACAGCAAAACTGAAAAGAAGGGTGCCACCCCCCCACACTCTCAGTACTTCCTGAGCAACAGGACCAAACACACAGAGTTCTAACTCATTCTAAGGCAGAGCACCCACTTTCCCAAGGAAAAAGTCATTTTACAGCGCACATCCCAAAGTCACATTCTTAGCGAGAGAACAATGGCTCCAGGTTCACAAAGATGGGACATATCACAGATACCCTTGGTCATATCACATGGCCTGCCCTAACTGATACCACCAGGAACTTCTCTGAAGAAAGCTCAATAAAACTCCAAAGCATTTATTTCTTTCTTCAAAACAGCTACAGATGGGCTGTCCAAAAGACTGCTGGTTATACGTTTGTTACTCAATGGGTAACTGATGCCAATTTTGGATATTTATAAGATGATCATCTAGTAAGTTATATTTATAACAAACTTATTACATGTTCAAATCCACATTTCTGCTTAGATCATAGTGAGAAGAGGACCTCTGAGTTATTAGTGTAATACCCTAAAAGTTAATTTTTCCAAATTTAAATTCCAAAATTTAAACCATTTAAAAAGTTATTTTCAGCATCTTCTCACCAAGCTATTTCATTTTTAAAAGCAAGCAGAGGCAAGGTCTCTGTCCCACCCCACTCAGTTCACTTGATCAAACACAGGACTGGAAAACAGAGTGTGGGGTTTATATAGGTCCCAGTTGATGCAGGAACATCCATGTTCCCAAGCAAGAAATGGAAAATCATATTCTCCCCAATGTGGGTAAAGGACCAGCGTCACCTGGGGCCTAATGGGATGTGCAGGTTACATCTGTCAGGATTGATACCATAAAAGAGAAAAGTTTTGTGGATCTGCTGGGGCTTATACCTGAGCTTTTGTCGAATCGTATGCATGACGTCAGAGAAAAGCATTTTATAAACCCAGGATAAGACTTTCTTGAGAGAACATCTTAAAGGAGGGGATCCCAACTCAAGACACATGGGGACAGTTGTGCAGCCAGTGAGGCAGACAGCCCCATCTCTAGGAAGCAGGAACCCTAACTAAGAGATGGCCACTGCTGAGCACTTCCAGCACTCTCTGGTGGAACTCTCTGAGAGTCAGACCACACACTGCCGCCCCTAGTAGCAGAAAGCACATGACAGCTGCACTCCAGCTTCTATTCTATACCAACTGAGGGCAAAATTCATCTCTTTCTGGTTCCAAGAAGATTCTGTCTGCCATGGAAAAGAAAAGGGTGGGGGCGGGCATGGGAAAAATGGAGGAACTGTGAGTGGGCAAAGGGGAGGGAAAGGAGGGGAGGGGGCATGGGGCAGGAAAGATGGTGAAACAATATGGTCATCATTACCCTAGGTACATGTAGCACTGCACATACAGTGCGACACTACATGGTGTATAATCAGTAGACAATCAGAGAAATGAAAAGCTGTGCTGCAATTGTGTACAGTGAATCAAAATGCATTCTGCTGCCATATATACCTATTTAGAAATAAATTAATTAAAATAAAAGAAAAAGAAAAACTTAACTCAGTGAACCCCCCAGGACTGCCTGGGGGTAAATATCAAGTCCACTATCACCAGGTGTTTAAATACCAGATAGACAATCATTTCGTGGGACAAGTTCTACTTCTTGTGGAATGGGTTAAATCTGAGCCTTTGGAACCCAGAGATCTAAGAGGGAGCCCAGTGCACAATGCTTTTTTTCTTTACAGAGGTTTTTTGTTTTATTTTGTTTTGTTTTTCTGAATGAACTTTGTTTTCACACAGATTACTGGTAAAGCAAAATACTGATGTAACTCTAAGACATTAAGGGTGTCAGGTGACCACTAAGGTCCTGTATGTGGTTCCAGTTAAGAAATCAGTTGGAAAACCAGGTCAAGAAGCAATGTGATACTAAGTAAGGGACCTGAGCAACTGCAAGAGTCCTAGCTTGATTCTCTTCCCATGAGCCCTTGGCTCACAGGTCCAACACACAAAGCATCACTAAAATGAACAAAAACGTGGGGATGGGAATGTGGCTCAGTGGTAGAGGGCTTGCCTGGCATGTATGAGGTCCTAGATTTGATCACCAAAACCACAAAAAAATAAGTAAAA